ACTTTTTTTTTTTCTGTTTTTACAAAAAAGAAATTCTTTAAAAAAATGATTTTTTTTAAATAAAAACTGAATTGTTTTTTGTAAAAACTGGAAAAAAGAAGACTTTACTAAATTAGTGGATTATTGGTGCATTAGTTTAAAAAAACGAAAATATTTTGCAAAATATTTTTTTTAAGTTTTACAAAAAGAATAATTATTATTTTTAGTTTAGCATTGACCTAACGGTCAAAGGGCATAAGTGAACCAAAAAAGTGGATGAAGGGGTATTTTTAGCCCAATAAGTGAATAAAGGGTACTTTTAAAATTTTAAAATAGTTTAGGAGCATTTTGAACCCTTTTCCGTAAGTAAAAATATTTAAGGTATCTAACAGCCTAAAATTTTATGGAGTAATTTACGTGCCCACAGAGTTGAAGTTGGTTGACATAGCCACTTTTATATATTTAAAAAATTATATTAATCCTTCAACAAATAAATATATGTTGAAATTTTAATATTAAAATTTAAAATTTTTCTAATATTTTGATCTTTAAATTAAACTAACTAAATTCTAGCATAATTCTGATGGAATGTGATTTAATGAATATAAACTATTATAAAAATATGAAATTCTAATGCGAGTTAAATTTCGTGTGTTCACAAAATAATTTTCATATCAAATACCACAACAAAAACAACAATGTTGTGACGCCTCAATCCCAACTTTGCCTATGTGAGGTCGCTAACATTGTTAGTCCCAAGCCAACACAAAGGAAGAGGGTTGTGGTAGGTGACCAGCCAACATAAAACTTGTCAATTCATAATGAATTTATGACAGAAAAAATCATAATTATAATTAATAATTGATTTTTCACGGAACAAAATTTAGAATTTTGAGAACTTCGACGGGGCAAGCTTCTTCTTTTATTAGGTTAGTTAAAAAGAATTGATAATCATCATTCTCATGATTTTATATTTTCTTATTAACTTTTACTTATATAAATTTATACATAAATTTAAAATAATTCTTATGAGATTTTTTAAAGACTTTGTTTTTTGAGACGAGGTTCGCGTGCAATGCGCGTACTCTAAAATTAGTAATTAAATAAAAGTATTTACCCTATTCGGTCACACAAAAGTAGGGGTGAGCATATATCGGGTAAAATCGATAACCCGAACTATTAATTATTTATTGGGTTATTGGTATTGGGTTATTGGGTTAACGGTTCGGTAACGAGTTAATTTTTTTTATTGAATTATCGGTTCAGATTCGGTTTGGCAATTCTGTTATTGGGTAAAACCGATAACCCAATAAGGATTAACTAATTTACTAGTTTACCCTTAAGTATATACATACTAGGATTTCATAATTCATAGTTCACTCTTTGATTTCCCTATTCTTTCTCAGTTTCTCCCCCTCATGCCCTCACCAGTCAGCCCGTCAAGACTCAGGCCGGTGTCAGTCGCATTTCTCAGCTTCTTTCTTTCACTCTTCAGTCACATCTTCACTTCATTTCTCATATCCATCAGATTCTTCAGTCGCATCTTCACTTCACTCTTCAGTCGCATTTCTCAGCCGCATTCTTCAGCTTCATCTTGATTCTTCGTGTAGGTTTTTAGTTGCTTCATCTCCATCTTTTTCTTAGTTCGTTTCAAAGCATTCTCGCTCTGGATTTTTCTTAGTTTGTTTGAAAGTTGAAGTGAGATTTGTCGTGTGCGTTAATTGTTGAGCTGTTACAAAGTTGTATTATGTCAGTTATTATAAAATTTGTATTTCATAACTAATAAACTTTTTAATCTATATACATAATTCTGAACTAGAGTAAAAAAGTAGATATCAATGTACAAAGAGTTACTGTTAGTCGTTTGAACAAAGAAGATCTTAAGAACACTGATTTTACCGAAACTGTTGTATACATTGCAAATCTTATAAAACTGTTTTAGCAAAATAATTTATACCGAAACTGTTTTATATATTGCGAAACTATTTTAGTTATTTTATCTTATCGGGTAAACCGATAATTGAACCGATAATGATCGATAATCGATTAACCGATAACCGATAACCAATATCTTATCGGTTTGGTTATCGGGTTATGATATTTGCAAACCGATAATATTCATAACCGAACCGAACCGACCGATGCCCACCCTTACACAAAAGGAGAAAGGGAAAGAAAGAAGAGGCAGAGGATTTCGCAGGAATCACGGACTGCACTTAAAGATACTCTTTGCAATCACTACAATTTGCAGCAGATGCTCATCCTCTGACACCTACCAAGAGGTCAGGTACCTGATAATAGGCTACATAAATGATATTTGCACCCTAATTATACCATGCTTTATTGTTGTTTTAAAGGCTAAATGATAACAAAATGCTCTAATTGGTGTTCTTTTGCTTCACAGGGATTAATCCAAGTTAAGAAGAACTATGGAGTGTTTTGGAGTCAATAATATGAAGAAAACGTCCGATCAAGAAGCACCCAAGCGGAAAGAAGCAAAAAGCGGACTGGATTTGAATCCATCGCGACCGCGGTGGACCGCGGCAGGCCACAGACGCGAGGCAGAATGGTTGGCTCTCACCGCTGTCGCGCCGTGATCTGCCGCGACCGCGATGAACTGTGCAGTTACCAGAAATTTTGGGGACCAAAGTGTAACTCGGGGAAAACTTATCCCAAACCCTTATAAACTCTAGAAGTTCGCCCAAGAAAGTATTAAGCTTGTTTTTAGACTACTTTGGAGGCAAGAACAAGTGTGAGAAGATCAACCAAACATTAGAGTTTTTCTATCTTCTCTTTATTATTGCAATTTCACATTATGAACAATTTAGTAGTTTTCTCTTGCTTTGTTATGAGTAGCTAAACATTTAATCTAGGGTTGATGGAACCATTTGTTGGATGAGGTTTTGACTCAACTTTGTTATAATCGAGCCGAATTTATTATATGATTGTTCAACTACGTCTTGTATGGTGATTAATTGAATGTGCCCTTGATTAATCGTGTCTAATTGCCTTGTGTTGCTTGAGAAAGAATACTAGGCTAGATTGCTGTGGAACAACACCACTTTTGGATACTTGAAGAGAATCATTACTTGAACTTAAAAGTGGGGTTAGAGATAACGAAACTTTGGTGGGATAATTCAGAGCTGCACGAAGTGTCAGCTAGGGTAGTTCGAGAGAATGCTCTAGTAAATTATCGTAGTTGATCGAGAGATAATTACGATAACTCATAGCTCATAATCCTCAGAGAAGTATTACGATGAGATTATAGCAAAAGAGTTAAGACTTAAACTAGCAATTGGGGAAATCAATACCCTAGACCTTTTTACCATTGAATTATCTTTGATTTAGCGTATTATTGTTTTTTGTATCATTTGAAGTAGTTAAACAAAAACCCAATTTTTATTGACAAAAATCTTGCATCTGGAAATTGTTTGAGTTGATAATAGCATTGCCAAGAGTTGTAATAGATAGGTTAGTTCCCTGAGGATTCGACTCCGGACTTAAAACTGGATTATATTTGCAACGACCGCTTTGTCTTTTAGAAGGCATAGTTGCGCGTGATCAAATTTTGGCGCCGTTGCCGAGGAACTTAATGGCGTTATTTATTACAACTTAGAAGTAGTGCTAGAATTATTAGTTTAGATCAATTTTCGAAGGTGTTAAACAATTTCTTTTTCATTGAAATTCTCACGTTTGAACTCTTGTGGGATTTAGGTGTATGCCTAGGAATTATTCGAGGACTGGAGAACTGCTTGAAGGACTCTCAGACCCCGAGAAAACATTCAGGGCATTGAACCGTGCCAACAGGAAGAATAAACAATCACAATAAACACAATAACTTGAATTTGACATGGGTGACGTAAATAACATCGACTGAAACATCAGGGATGAGCCAGCTGACCCAAACATCATAGTGGTGGCACCTCTTGTGCCAAAAGCTGCACTTTTTGATTGCGCACAACCAACAGCTGACAACCTGGCCACTGCCATTGCTGTGCCCCCAATACAAGCAGAGACATTCCAGATCACCAACAACATGTTGCATCTTTTGCAGAATAAGGGATTGTTCTCCGGATCACACATTGAAGACCCTAATCAACATTTGAATTTTTTTTTTGTCGATTTGTGTGACCCAAAGGCAGCCAAATGTGACCCCAGAAGATATCAAGCTATTACTGTTCCCATTCTCTGTGACTGGGGAAGCTCAGATTTGGCTGAATTTGCTCCCAATAAATTCCATTGTCACCTGGGAGGAATTAGTCAAGCAGTTCCTGAACAAGTTTTACCCGCCCAACAAGATTGCAAGACAGATTGATGAGATTTTGTAGTACAAGCAGCAGCCTACTGAGACCTTGCAGGAAACTTGGGAAAGGTTCAAAGGGATGCTATTGAAGTGTCCCCACCATGGTATTCCAGACCAGATGCTTGGCCAGAGATTCTATATGGGGTTAGCAGACAATCTAAAGGCCAACGTAGATGCTTCAGCTGGGGGTGCATTTTTGAGTAAGATATTCACCGAGTGCGAAATCCTTCTTGACAAGATGTCCCAGAATTCGGGGTGGATGACGAGAGGCACAACACTGGCACCAATGGTGCATTCAGTTCCTCTTGACCCAAATAATTTGCATGCAGAGAATATAGCCACACTCATGACTCAGATGAGTATATTGACAAAGAAGATTAATGAGATGGGTACAAAGCAAGTGCATGTTGTTGACACAACAAATGGAGGACTGTGTACACCCTGTATTAATCAGTCTTATGTGTGTTCATGGAGTGGAGAAGGTGACAACCAAGGGTTAAGAGAGGATATGAATTATGTCAACAACTTTGGGGGTCAGAGACAAGGAGGACAACAGTGGAGACCAACACCCAATCAGCAGTACAAACCAAACATGCCATAACCTGGAGGTATGCAGCCCCAAGGCCAAATGGTGCCATATCAGAGATAATAGGGATATCCATAGCAGAACCAGCAACAATTGGCATATCAGCCACCTCCTCAGCAACAAGATAACAACATGGTAGAGATCAGGGGTATGCTTCAACAACTCATTGGAATGAATGGTAAAATGCAGGAAAAGTTGGCAGTTCATGACTCAACAATAAAGAACATTGAAACTCAATTGGGGCAGCTATCCATGGCCTTAAACAACCGCACCCAGGGAACATTGCCAGCAGATACGAACATTAACCCCAAGGAGCAAAATCCGAATCAGCTGATGGCCGTAAGTCTCCGGAATGGGAGAGATTTAGACAGGGAGCAAGAAGTTGCACAATCCAACAAAGAGACTACGCCAGCTACTCTAGTTCTATTGGAGGTAGATGAATCAGCGGAACTTACTGAAGTGGTGATTGAACAAGTTCAGGATAATAAGGGTAAGGCTAAGGAGAGTGAACAAGCTGCAGAACAGGTGGTACCTCTTGTTCCACAGAACCCCAACAGAGAGAAGCCAGCAAGCAGTGCACAAAGGGTGATACCTGCACCATTCCCTCAGAGACTGGTAAAACCAAAGAAGGAAGATCGATACAGGAAATTCATGGAGATGCTTCGTCAAATTCAATTGAATATTCCTCTGATGGATGCTTTGAGGGAGATGCCAGGCTATGCAAAGATGATGAAGGACCTAATGTCACGAAAATTTGACTTTCAGGACCTATCCATAGTAACTCTGACACAGACTTGCAGTGCAGTAATGACAAGGCCCATGGCTCAAAAGATGTCTGACCCAGGTAGCTATACTATTCCGTGCACTATTAGGAGTTATGCCTTTGCAAAGGAATTATGTTACTTAGGAGCCAGCATAAACTTGATGCCGCTGGCCATATATACCAAACTGGGCATTGGCAGAGCTAGACCGACTTTGATGCTTTTGCAACTAGTTGACCGCACAATTAAAAGGCCGACGGGGATTCTTGATGATGTGTTGGTACAAGTGGGGAAGTTTATATTCCCTGCAAACTTTGTTATTCTGGATTGCCAGGTAGATGAAGAGATACCTATCATTTTAGGGAGTCCATTCTTAGACACTGGTAGAGTACTAATCGATTGTGAAAGTGGGGAATTAAAAATGAGGTTGAACGATGAAAAAGTCATATTAAATGTTCAACAATCCATGAGGAGGCCCAGTGAATATGCTAATTGCTCCCTAGTGGAGGCAGTGGATGTGATCCTGCACGAAGATGATGAGACCCTGACTGCTAAAGATCCATTAGAGGCTTGTCTGACAAATTTAGAGGAGATGGATGGTAAAGGGTTGGTAGAGTGGGTCATGGCACTCGAAGGCCAAGGATTCTGGAAAAAGGAGCCTCAGTTCGAGTCCCTGGAGTTAGAAAAGAGGGCTACACCACTAACAAAACCATCAGTGGAGGAACCACCCAAACTGGAGTTGAAATCGCTCCTAGCTCACCTCAGGTATGTTTTCTTAGGGCTTGATTCTACTTTGCCTGTTATTATATCATTCGGTCTGCTAGATGTGCAGGTAGAGAAGCTCCTACAGGTGCTACAGGAATGTACGACTGCCATTGGTTGGACCATGGCGGACATAAAGGGTATCAACCCAGAATTTTGTATGCACAAAATTCTCTTGGAAGAAGGGAACAAACCTTCTAGAGAACATCAAAGAAGGTTGAACCCAAATATGAAAGAGGTGGTGAAGAAGGAAGTGATCAAATGGTTAGATGTGGGTATCATCTTCCCCATCTCTGACAGTAATTGGGTCAGCCCTGTTCAGTGTGTGTCGAAAAAGGGAGGAATGACATTTGTACAAAATGAGAATAATGAGTTGATCTTGACTCATACAGTCTCAGGATGGCGGATTTGCATGGATTACCGAAAATTGAACACAGCCACCCGGAAGGACCATTTTCCCTTGCCATTCATTGACCAAATACGGGACAGATTGTCTGGGCGATCTCACTTCTGTTTCTTGTATGGATATTCAGGGTACAATTAGATTTCAATAGCCCTCGAAGACAGAGAGAAAACATCATTCACCTGTCCCTATGACATCTTTGCCTTTCGGAGAATGCCCTTTGGGCTTTGCAATGCACCGACGACATTTCAACAGTGCATGTTAGCCATTTTCACGGACATGATGGAGGACATGGTGGAGGACATTATGGAGGTATTTATGGATGATTTCTCCGTGGTGGGGGGTTCATTCGAGGATTGTCTTCACAACTTAAGAAGAGTGCTAAGAAGATGTGTGGAGACAAATTTAGTGCTGAACTGGGAAAAATGCCATTTTATGGTGCAAGAAGGGATAGTCTTGGGGCATCAAGTGTCCAGTAAAGGAATCGAGGTTGACTATGCTAAGGTTGACATGATTGAGAAATTGCCACCGCCTACTTCAGTCAAGGCAGTGAGAAGTTTCCTTGGGCACGCCAGGTTCTACAGGCGATTCATAAAAGACTTCTCTAAGATTGCTAACCCTTTATGCAAACTCCTTGAAAAGGATCAGCCCTTTGTGTTTTCTAATGATTACAAGTTGGCATTTGAGGAGCTGAAGAAGAGATTGGTGACTGCACCCATCATTGTTGCACCCAACTAGGAGCAACCGTTTAAGCTCATGTGCGATGCAAGTGACTATGCTATAGGAGCAGACTTGGGGCAACAATACTGATGCACCCGATTTACTATGCAAGCATAATGCTAAGCAGTGCACAACTCAATTACACCATGACGAAAAAGGAGATGTTGGTTGTCATTTTTGCATTCGACAAATTCAGGTCATACTTGATTGGCTTGAAAGTTATTGTTTATACTGACCATGCAGCAATTAGGTACTTGATAGAAAAGAAGGAGTCAAAGCCACACTTGATTCACTGGGTTCTTTTGTTACAAGAATTCGATCTGGGGATCTGTGACAGAAAAGGGACATAGAACCAAGTAGCTGATCACCTCTCAAGGTTGGAAGGAGATGAAAAGAAGTTAGAGGTTTAGGATATAATAGAGACATTCCCGGATGAACAGTTACTAGCAATGACAATGGAGGAGGCACTATGGTATGTTGATATTGCTAATTATTTAGCAAGTGGTATTGTACCTTATGAACTCTCCCCAATTCAAAAGAAAAAGTTCTTTAGTAATTGTCGGTCTTATTATTGGGATGTACCTCTACTATTTAAAATATGCGTAGATAACATGATCCGGGTGTGTATCCCCAAGAAAGATCAACATTCTATTTTGCAGGCTTGCCATACTTCACCATATGGTGGTCACTTTGGAGGAATTCGGACAACAACTAAGGTGTTAGAGTTGGGTTTGTATTGGCCAACTCTGTTCAAGGATGCCCATGCTTGGGTCAAAAGTTGCGATGAATGCCAAAGGACAGGCAACATATCTCGCAGACACGGGATGCCAATGACCACAATTCAAGAGCTGGAGGTTTTTGACATGTGGGGGATCGACTTCATGGGGCCATTTGTCAGCTCGTATGGTAATAAGTACATATTGGTAGCAGTTGACTATGTCTCCAAGTGGGTCGAAACAGTGGCTTTCCCAACCAATGATGCTAAAGGGGTAACAGGCTTTCTAAAGAAGAACATCTACACACGTTTTGGCACCCTGAGAGCAATACTCAGTGATAGCGAAACCCATTTCTGCAATAGAGCTTTCACACGGCTGTTGGAAAAGTATGGAGTTCGTCATAAAGTGACCACCCCGTACCACCCACAGTCAAGCGGGCAAGTTAAAGTGTCCAACAGGGGAATTAAAAGTGTCCTTACAAACAGTGAATGCAACAAGGACCGATTGGGCAAAGAAGTTGGATGATGTATTATGGGCGTACCACACAGCCTTCAAAACTCCAATTGGTATGACACCGTACAAGTTGGTGTTTGGAAAGTTATGACACCTTCCGGTAGAGCTTAAACATAAAGCACTTTGGGCATTGCGACAGTTGAACTTGGACATGGAGACAACATACACCAACAGAGTCACTGGGTTACATGAGCTAGAGGAATTCAGGTTCCAGGCATTCGAGAACGCTAGATTATACAAAGAAAGGATGAAACTAATGCATGATAAGCACATCGTGGACCGAAACTTCAACTCCGGAGAGCTAATGTTGTTATACAACTCAAGATTGAGGTTGTTTCAGGGTAAGTTGAAGTCCCAATGATTAGGACCCTTCAGAGTGGTGCAAATGTTCTCAAGTGGAGCTGTTGAGATTGAGTCAGAAGATGGGACGAATTAGTTCACAGTGAATGGGCAAAGGTTGAAACATTACCTTGGAATGGTAGAAGAGAAAGGGGATAGAGAGATAATAACGTTGGAAGAGCCCCAGTACGCGAATGAGGAATGATGATCCTAGCCTGCATCGTGCCGCGACATTAAATCAGGCGCTGCGTGGGAGGCAACCCACGAATGTTGTTGTTTTTGTTTCTTTTGTAACTTCCTATACAAAAAAAACCAAAACAATCATCGCACCGCGACCGCGGTAGAGGACGAGTATTCTGCCTTACATTTGCTCGACCCACCGCGACCGCGGTAGGATCGTGGTGAGGTGAGAGTATTCTGCCTCAAATTCCTTAACCCACCGCAGCCGCGGTGGGAATGCGGTCGACCGCGGTGATTCGTTGAGTTCCGTCGCCCAGGTAAGTTAATTTCAATTTTTTTTATTATTTTATTTTCTTTTCAAACCCCCCCTTTTAATTTCATTAAAACACCCGCCCCCTCTCACTTCCCCCCTCTTCTCTCTCTCTCTAAACCCTAATCTCTCATCTCCCTCCTCTCTTCTTCTTCTTCTTCTTCTTCTTCACTTTTCCCACCTCCCCCATCTCCATTCATCCCACTCTCTCTTCCATCAAGGTATGTCACTACCCCCTCCCTCTTCTATTGTATTTTTGTTTTAAGTTTTATCTTAGTTCAATATTTAATTGTGTAGTATCTCTAGTTGAATTTTTTCTTTTAATTTTCTTCTTTTCTTGCTTTTTAATGGGTTATATGCACAATGTTGTAGAGTAGTGTGTGCACAATGTTGTAGAGATATGTGTGCTTGAATGTGTAAGACTAGTGTTGTGGGTGGTATGGTGAAGTGCAAATTGTGATTTGGGGGAAGCATTGATGTATCCATATGGGCTATATGTGTTAGGAAGTGTCTTGCCCACAAGGTGTTTGTGGAATTGCCCCAATAGAGTTATAAAGGCTAATGTGACCATGGTTGTGGTGAAGCCTGAGTAACCACCCATAGTTCACACACCTCACACCCTAACTGATAGGCGATTCTCTATTTGACAGGTAAATGCATCCATCTAGAAAGAGACACAACACAGGGTCCTCCGCTAGTGGATCAGGCAGTTCCTCGAGAGCTAGGGGTCAAGCCAGTGTGGCACAGTTTGATAGCACTAGGTTTGTCTCCAAACAGGCAAAGGACAGGTACAATGCAAAGGCATCTAAGAAATTGTTACCGAAGGTGCATATTGACCGAGCAGCTTTGCAAGTGGAATGCCCGAATATCTTTGCTGAGTTGAGGAGGCGTCAGCTGGACATCTTCTTTGAGGAACCGGAGGAGGCAAATGTACAGATGGTAAGGGAATTTTATGCCAACTGCCCGGAACATGAGGATGGGGTTGTCATAATACGCAATACCCGGGTAAATGCGTCCCTCGAAGCCATCCGCCGGGTATACCGACTACCAGTATTCATGGAGGAGATGGATGCTTATATTGCTTATCACCGCCCGAGGGTCAATTGGACACCAATTCTTGATGTCATATGTGTGATTGACAGGGAGTTTATATCGATAAAGCGTCTGATAACATTGAACTCACAATCTCTTAATTGGGAGGCAAAGTGCTGGCTCACCATTATCAACGGTCGCTTGCTACCCTCTAGCAACACGACTATGTCAATGGGCCACGGGCAGCGGCTATCAACAGTCTTATGACCCACCAGGATTTTGATATCGCCCGGCTCCTCCATAATGAGAAGTTCATTCGCTCACCTGAGATACTCAAAGGTTTTTACTTCCCTTCTCTAGTCACCAAGCTGTGCCGTCTTGCTAGAGTCCCTGAAAACCTTAGAGTTGATGAGAAATTGCCATTGAAAGCCCTGTTCCGGGCAAGCAAAATCTGAATTGGAAGAGAGCCGATGGTGATGGTTGAGGATGATGATGAATCTGATGATGATGCTGATGAAGCTGCTCTCCTACCACCTACGAGAGTTGATGAGGCGGACCCATCACAACCCCACCGAAGTACCCACATGACAGCCCTGGAATAAGAAATGGCTGGTCTCCGCACTTCTATCGATGATCTGGGCACCAGATTTGACACTCTGACCACTCAATAGGCCAAGTCGGAGAAGAAGATTATGGGATGGCTTCGAGCGCTAGGACGAGCATGTCACCTCGATCCTGACACCGTCTTTGATCAGGATTGATCTTCAGAGAAGTCCCCTTACCTTACTGTGCTTTATATTTGTTGACATGGGTACAAGCCAAACTTTTAAGTATGGGGTGGGGGATGGCTGTTGTTGTAAATAGACTGTATAACTTTGTATGATGCTGCTTTCTTTTTGATTGGTTGGTATTGTAGGGTCATGTAGTTAACTTCGACTTGGCCTAAAGATGGACACCTTTCGACAGATCTCTTGAGGGACATTAGTCGAACAAAAAAAAGAATATAAGGACTCTTCCTGATGACAGATATTTGAGACAGTTTCTTTAGGGAAGTTAGTCTAGAGAAAATACCAAAAAGATTTTTTTAGGTAGTGTAGTAACTCCCCCTTGATTTTTCTTTGTGCCATAGTTCTTTTCCAAGGGTTTAACTTGAACCAGGTGTATGTAGTTTTTTTTTTAGTTTTTAGTTAGTATTGATGGGCTACGAGCTGAAATAGAAAGAGAAACCCTTGGTGTTAATACACCTGAACACAATCGACACTAGAGTGTAACGCCTAGTCTCAGTGGTTGACTCTTGCTAAAGTGCCTTAAATTTGTATGTTTGTAACTGA